ATAAGGTCGAACCTCCTCGAAATTGATAAACATTCGACGCATTTTTGCACTACCGCGAACCTAGTTATTAATTGTTATAATTATTAAAGTTGACAGATATCCAGAGGAAATCTGTTGCATCGATGGCATAAATGATTAAACAATTCTGCTTTACAGACAAATATTTAATCCTAACCTGAATAGTGATCAACTTTAACGATCTCGGTCCACGGAGTAAATAACGCCGAGACACTACCAATGTCTCCAGATGTATTTTTGGTAATTATTCAGAATACCTCCCTCACCTCCGATTTCGATAAAATTAGGCTCATACGACGCATTTTTGCATGAAACGAAAGAATCTGGTAGAAAAAAGTGTCGCTCTGCCTCGCGAACCGAGATATTTAGCGTTAAAGTTGACGACTATGGAGGTTAGGAAATCTGTCATACCGACTATGTGTAATAAATTAAACGTATGTAGTAGTGCTTAGACAGTGTCCGCTTGGAATATTTGTAACCCATGTAGACAGTGGGATGTATAGACAGTAAGGCGTAGCCGCCCCGAACAAAATATAAATATCATATCCTACCCGCTTGGGGCCTAACCGCCTAATTTTATCGAAATCGGAGGTGAGGGAGGTATTCTGAATAATTACCGCATTTTTTTTGCCAGATTCATTCATTTCGTGCAAAAACGTGTCGAGCTAGTCTAATTTGTATATGTAGAAGCAGAAAATCACTTACGTGTCCTCTATGGCATGCCATCGATGTGACAGTTTTCCTAATCTAATCATCAGCCACAGAAAACAGACACATGTGTGATGTGACCACGCACATTGCCAGCGCCACATTTGCCTCTTGCGTCAAAAAGTCCAAAAGAATATTTCCCCCACCCCATAGCCCTGTCGACGACGACGATGACGTTTCTTAAAATATATATTCTGAGCGGATGCAATCGATTGAGCATATTTAGAACTCAATCGGGACAGCCGTTATTGAGATCCCATAATCGCCGTTTGGAAATCTTGACAGATTCGCGTAAAGGAGGCACGGCAGTGTTGCTGCCCTTGGCTTAGCGCCGAGGAGTGGCACCCAGTTGGACAAGGCTCAATTGGGCACGAGCCACTCACAGCACTTGAGACTACAAAGCTCCTAAGCACCGGTCGTTGTGATTGGTGGTGTCCAATCGAGTCGTGATCAATCGGGATCATCGCACGCCGAGACACTACTAGTATCTCCAGATAAATTTGATACAAATTGCGTCACCTGAGTTGCCATCTTTTTGAGGAAAGCGGCTTCCGATTTTGCTTATGATATTGACAGCAATATATTGTCACGTCCGTAATAGCTTGAAAATTTCTTTCCGAACAGACTTAAGTATAGTCCGACTAGTAAACACGTGCACCAGAGAAGAATGCACCTGACGCTTCTCCCACACCCACCAACGGCACGGTCAATGGAAGGGGGCTTTATGAGGAATGGGCGAAGGAACGCCCATGGAGAAAACGTAGAGAGACGCAGAAGGTATCCGCGCGCGACATAGAACGGACACGCCAAGTCCGTCTCCGCGATCTCGCCTGACCAATCACCGTGCCGTTCCAAACGCTTCGCGCGGAACATAACTCTAACTCTAACTCTAATCAAAAACCTAATTCTAACTCCAATCGAAATTCTAACTTTAATTCTAATCGTAAATCTAACTTTAATTCTAATCGTAAATCTAACTTTAATTCTAATCGTAAACCTAACTTTAATTCTAATCGTAATTCTAACTCTAATTATAAAATCCAAGATAAGTTGTGGAATTAACTGTACTCACTAGTTGTAATCAGTAATATAAAATATATCCCTATATTTGAACAATTGCTTGAGTGCGTGATTCCTGGCAACCTCACCCTCCATTTAATATCATCGACATTAACGGAGGTTTACATTTAATATCATCGACATTAACGGAGGGCCGATCTAAACCGATGGGCCGCTAGGGCACTGGATTAAGACGAGAAGCTTCCTCCTCCAACCACTGAGCTTTGGAATCGCACGGAGGGGACCCGCGGACACTTAAAGGAAAAGATCACCAGGTAGGTAAATTGCCTTGCTTTCCGCCAATCGAATCCGTCAACCGCGAACCGCGTATAGCATGTGCCCTTTACACCCGCGAGCGCGCGCCTCGATAGACGCCCGAATACTCGCGATTGGACCATACTCTGCGTGGTTGAATAGTGCATGTTGCGTCTCCGCGTTATTTTTCCAACACAAAGAGGACAGGACTATTAAATATCCCGAATGTTATACTTCTGGGCCGGCGCATGAAAAGGGAAACTATCAGGGAGTCTTACGGCATTACATTCATTTGGGAGCCGTTGAAAGATTCGAATCCTGCAGCGTATGTTCGGTACTGACTGTCACGGTGCATGCTGTCGCGAGTTGTCCTGATTGCCCCGACGCATTATTCAGATTCATCGCTTACTTAGAGGAGACGGGAGAAACCCCGTGGATCGAAACGGAACCAACCATAGTCGCGATATCTAGCGTCCGACTGTAGCCAATCGGTGGGCTGGACAAGTCTCGTCGCGGAAATTTTATCGCTCGAAACGCGAAGTAGCATCCCACCATAGCCTCAGGATAGCGCCGATACCGGAGGCTGGCCGGTGCTCCCTCGAGACGTAACAATATATGTATATGAGGTGATCCCGATTGACCACGGCTCGATTGGACACCACCAATCACAGCGACCGGTGCTTAGGAGCTTTGTAGTCTCAAGCGCTGTGAGTGGCTCGTGTCCAATTGAGCCGTGTCCAACTGGGTGCCACCCAATATATATCATAAACGGTTATGCACAACCGGAGGGAAACAATTTTCCTCTTCTTTTTTATAAGTTTTATAGGTTAGGACAATCATACGGCAACATAATGGGAACTAATTTTGCATAAAACAAATTTGCTAGCAATTTGTCAGCAATATAAAAGAAACTTATAGTAAAAAGGGTTAACCTCTAACAATGCTTTCCTGTTTAAAATCGACTCAAAAGAGAACTTTAAGATATCTTTAAGAGTTCTTTAAAAAACATCTTTAAGATATTTCATAAAGAACTCTGAAAGATGTCTTAAAATGACTTATGAATTTATTTTAGACATTTTACTCATTTGGTTGACAGGTGTAAGTTACTATGAATAAAATTACAATGTAGAACAAAATACATATTACAGTATTAGGAGATTTTATTTACTCGGTGAAAATTTCAAAAAAAGTATTATGTTTTTCATCTTAGAGCCTACCCCCCCCTTGGGGCTCACTTCAAAGAATGATTTTATTAAAACACAGCTGAAAAATCTTCTAATGCTGCATCTTTTATTCTATTCTATGTCGTTTTTTAAAATCGAGAAATTTAACTCGATGCATCCCTCTGGTGGCGGCACCACATACTGCTCGACGACGCTCCATTTTCATTCGATTGACAAAAATGTGGACTAAATATTTTACAAAAACGATTTTCAACAGATTGTTGCAACATTTATGGGAATAATTTTGTTACAACATTTTCGCTCATTTGCGTAAACAACCGTTGTCTGCATAATGCCTCTAGGTTGATCTAAATGAAATTATTATTGCTCTGATGACGGCAACATGATGGTAATTGAAGAGAAACTTGTGCTAAGCACCTATTTCTTTTTTTATGCCAAGGAACGTTTTGTTATCTGGGAGTACTTCTGTGTTTTTCTTCAAAATTTAAATCCAACATTTCTTTGAAATAAACATGATAACTGTAGACATGACTCCGTCTTTGCCGTCCAAACCGCAGCCCATGCTCGCATCGTAGTGTTACGTGATTATGACAGATATCCTAACCTGAATAGTCATGAACTTTAACCCTTGATATCTCGGTTCGCGGGGCAGAACGACGCTTTTTTCTACCAGATTCTTTTGTTTTATGGAAAAACGCGTCGAATAAGTATAATTTCATCGATTTTTAAGAGGATGACTCTCCATCGCATCTTTACCTCCAATTTTAAAATGTCTTTAGTTAATAATTAAATACATAAAAATGATTTTACACACAAATACATTACCATAGTTGCACTTCACTGATGTTCCCAAATCTTTAATAATATCGTTTCTATTCTTTATTCTTCTTTCTAACAGACTCCTGCTATTTCTGCAATCGTCATTTATTCTGTTGTATGCCGCATCGTGCGCAATCACGTACGTGTGTGTAGAGTCCCTATCGTGCGTGTATGCTGTAGCGACATCTCACGAATATTTTATGCATGCTTTTTGACAAGTCGACTTTAAGTTGACTATTTAAAAAATGTTCTATATAATTCTAGGCTGTGGTTCGATTCATATATACCCACAACGCTTTTGAACAGCATTAATTCGTCCTTGTTTAACTATAATTAAATAACTAGGACGAAGTGATTCGATCCATATTTAATTTATATGTATATATTATAGTTTTGTGAGCGTAAATCGCACTAGACGTCCTAAAATCGACATTTGAACTTACAGTCGACTTTAAAGGCCTGACTTAGTCAACTTACAATCGACATATCGACGTTTGTGCTGTTAGGGTAGCGACGAAGAACGTGCATCTCTCTGGGCGGTTTTATGATATCTCGCCGCGCGCTTGCATTTGGCGATAGGCTACGCGAATTTGAAAATTTTTATAAAGTAATAACTCGTTAACTAATGCGAAAAATGCAAAATGGTATAGAACTTTTCTACTCAGTTTAATCCATTCTATCCTTATGCGAGAGTTTTATCGTTAATTATCAACCACTCTATATATCACATAATAATTCTTATGAACTTTACTGTAAATAATATACATGGAAATAACCGTTATACATACATCAGACAAAGAAAAAAAATGTAGAGGGATAGATTTTTATATATTTGACTTTTATATACTTGATTATATACATTTACGCAAGAGAAATAGAGCATTACTGTTATTTATTTCGTTACACGTTATATAACAGGTACAAGCATTGTAGAACCATACAGCATGACCATTTGTTATCGTATATTATCATTAATTGCATTCAGGAACAGAATTTTTGTAATTACAAACATTGTTTTTAAGATCGAAAACTAATCCACTAGGACATTCGAATTTGTAGAAAACGTTATTGTTGCAGTGATAGAATACACTGCAATCTTGTTTATCGCGAACATAACCATTTTCCTTGCAAATATCATTGGGAGGTGTAATCACAGGTGGCGTTGTTTCTGGTGGTTGCGTCGTTTGCGGAGGTTTCGTGGAGGTTGGCTTAGGTGGTTCTACCGGAACCTGTCCTTTGAGATTGACATTCAATGTTTTCAGCAGAGGATATTTTTCACCGCAATTGCCGAAAAAATCGTCAGTTTCGATACTCCACAACATCGCGCCACCGAGACCCAAGGTGTTGATGTAGTCAGTTTTTTCGTTAAGAGAACTGTGTGCGTGAAATAATTTCATTATATACATATACAATTATTGTACATATAAGTGCACACATATACAAGGTAGATACTAACAATAAGTACGCTAAAAGATTTAAAGGGATGATTCGTCACACAAATTTAAGACTAAAACTTCATATGATGATTTATCCAAAACGGCTTAATTTAAAAAGTACAAACTGTCAAAGTTGAAAAAAAATTTCGTTTTTTCCAAAAATTTCAAGAACCATTTAAGTTATTTTAATATAACTTGGTATATGTTTATTGGGCATGAAAGCTTATCTTTTGGGGAGGACTATATATACATTATATCCTTTTATTCTGTGGATGTCCACTAAGGAGGCCTGACTCGAAGCTTTGCGGTCGGCCGCAGCGTTTCGTCCTGGTCCCACACTACTAGACTCATCAGTAAGGCGATGTAGTGTGGGACTTGCCTTAGACGCCTGGAATGAATCCAGAACGATGTTTCTATTTAAAGGGAATTCGCGTGGCTGCGGTGCTCACGCGAACTGAGTGAGTCCCGTGGACCTCTAATGGCGAGTCGCCACAATTCAATCAGGGACGAATCTAAGGATAAGTAAGACAAAAAAACTGGTACGTTATTGATTTTTTTAAGTTTAAAATTTTTTCATGATAAATGGGTAAATCCGCAGAAAAAAAGCTCTTTTTAACATTTTCGATAGAGTAAGCCATTTTCAAGAAATAAATAAATTAGAATTCATAGATTGTAAATGAACAAATAGTCAACGAATCGTTAATCTGTAAACTAATTTGTTACATTCGTCTATAGTATTTTATGTTTACACACTTTATTTTTATTTTTTACTTAAATTGCCAAAAGTCGTCAAAGTGGCGTTTCATGTACCATATATTCTAAAATAATAAATATACTAATATTTTGCCAGTGAGTTAATCATCTATATTGTATACGTTTATGATTCCGACATATTTTCTGTTTTGTTTTTTTCATCATAGTATTGTTCATGGTGGAACCAGAAAAATATTCCAAAACCGCCCAGTCGTATCGAAAATAACTTTAAACTTGTATAGAAACTTAATGATTCACAACTTTTTTTTGACAATAATTATTCTTTAATTTCTTTGGACGTAATATTACTTTTCACAAATATACCACTAGATCTTGCTATAAAAAGTGTTTCTGATAGATGGAATTTTATTTCGCGATCATGTGGGAGTATTCCCAAAGAAGAATTTTTAAATGCTTTAAAATTAGTGTTGGAATAAACTTTTTTCACTTTTGATGGCAAGATTTATAGACTAAAATTTGGAACACCATGACCTCCTCGCTGCCTCTCATCATTGTAGATTTAGTTATGCAGAATCTTGAAAAAAACGTTGGAGAGATTTGGAACTGAGCTACCCTTTTTTTTTTAGATATACTGATGATATTGCTGTTGCAGAGTATCTCTAATAATTGAATCAATAAATTTCTCGAAGTTTTCAATTCTTCACATTCCTGATCACAATTTACTTTAGAGATTGGAGGAGACAGATTAAATTTTTTGGATATCACAATTATAAACGCTAATGGTATATTGACTAACATAATATGTCATATGATGATAATTTTACTTACTTAAATGTTTTAAAAATATTGATGTCACATACCGATTTAGTTTGTATTTCTCAATTAATATTTCGCAACATTTGTAATCTATTATTTAACGTTATTTATAATGTTGGAAAATAAGAATGTTTCTTAATGTAGTATTCCGAGATAGCAAGTTTCCCGCATGTTGCTATAAATTTGATACAAATTGCGTCGCCTGAGTTGCCATCTTTTTTGAGGAAAGCGGCTTCCGATTTTCCTTATGATATTGGCGGCAATATATATCATAAACGGTTATGCACAACTGGAGGGAAACAATTTCTCTCTTCTTTTTTATAAGTTTTATAGATTAGGACAATCATACGGCAACATGATGGAAACTAATTCTACATAAAACAAATTTGCTAGTGTTACGTCCGAGAGGACTCCACGATTTTCTCGTTTCGAGATTGCTTAATAGGGTGATCGTTGAGACGGGATGTAAGAGAAAATGCGAGAGTTAACGGTCACCGATCGGCGAGCGTGACAATATGTAGAAAATGTCGTTGAAAGCCTTCCCAACGATTTTGGAAAGATAATAAAAACATAGATACCCAGGATCATCTGATCCGCAGTAATAAAATTTATGATAAATTACAAACCATGTCGAGAATGTTCGTTTTGAAACTCGTTCAGTTTAAATAAGTAATATCTAAAAACGAGTCGAGAATCCTGGGTAAATAGAAAGTCGTATTCCCAAACGCATGTAACGTGTTGAAGGGCGTCTTTTCGTTAACAACAGGAAGTAGTAGAAAAGAAATAGCTTGACAAGAATAAATTTTAATTTTTGCCGACGATCATAAAATCCTGAAGAAATACTGTCTAGACGAGAAGACGCACGTTCAAGTACCTAATAAAAGAGAAATCGGAAATAAGAAAAAAAGGGGAA